AGCTGAACCTTTTGATGTCAAAATACTCCTGAAATTGTATTTCAAGTAAATTCTCACAATGATTTAATCTCCCCCAAGGTGTGTCATTTTAATCCTAGGTGTTCCAGCTCATCTTGTAGGTTGGGACACACACTAATGATAACTGTGATTATCATTGGTGTATAACAATATCTACAACAGTAGAACTTGCAGTTCTGCTGTCAAGGCCTGTTTTGCTGGAGGAAAAAAATCCCTTTGAACACCTTTGAAGGTCATGCTGTGAAAGACTAACTACTTTATAGTGTGGTTTATGGAGCTTGGCCAAAGCACTTGAAGCACTTTTGGTCATATATCGGCATTGTTGCATTTCAGATTGAGTCACACAGTAAATCTCCACTTGCGAGGAAATTTTCAGATCCTTTCATATGAAGCTGTTTCAGCGTTTCTTTGTTAACTCTTTGTTTTAGGAGGAAAAAAGTGTTTCTGGCAGTTTGGTAGCTGGGGATGTCTTTAAAGAAAATGCTATTGATCAAATAAGCAGAATTACAGGGCAGCAGCAACTAATTCTGAAAAATCTCAAGCTAGATTTCTCGAATAGCAGATAGATTTGGCACTGTGCATGCTGCATTTGTGAGGAAACTGGATGTAGATTCTACATACAGCTAAAAAGCCCCTAAAGCTTGAAAGGTATAGAAAGTAGACCAGAAGTTTGAGCTGTGGCATGGTGCAGGCAGCTGATGATCACAGATTAACAGTGGAACTCTTTATACCAGCTTGGTACCTGTATGATACGTGTCAAGTCTATGCTAGTAGGTATCTCCTGACTGGTCCCAAGTGCCAGACTGTTAGGCAAGCATCCCACAGGAAGAAGGTTGTATGGATACATGCAAGGCTGCATCAGTATCAAACTAGAGGCAGAAAGCCTATTCTGCAAATGGCACGACACAATTTACATCCACGTAGTTAATCAGTCCCTAAAATATATCAGGTAAGTGGCTTTGCCAATGATGTCGGAAGGGAGCAGCCCAGACCAGGCTCAACCCCAGCCAGCCAACTACTACCTGTGATCACAGCTCAGTGCTCCAGTTGCTGCCCTAGTCCTGGCCAGCTTACTCACAGACATTTTCCACCACCATATGTACGGGACACCTGCAAGGAGGAGATTGTTTAAAGGACTAATCATGGGCTTAGAAGAGCAGCAATGGCTTTAATCTGTATGCTTTTACAGACTCATCATATAGCTTCAAGTCAGGCAAATGCTTTTAAACTTATTTTCTTCCTAGCTACAGATACTAATCTGCCTTCTTAACAGGACTATTATTATGTGAAGTATTATTACTATGAAGCTATGTAAAGCAAACTAAAAATACTGTTATCAGCTCCATGGTATCACTCACTGCAATACAGATTAACTCATGCAGAACCCTCCATTACAGCCGCACCTTTCAAATGACTGATACTTCTCACCTGCAAATGCATTTTTACAAAAACCAATTTGTCTATATGCAGGTAGAAAATTAAATAGGACAGAAGAGAGAGGAACAGTGGAGTTTAAGCACTGAACCACAGTTCAGGAAACCCTTCCCAATAATCAGGCCTCTTTCAAAGTCCTCAGATTGTCACCATAAATAATCCCTGAGATTGGCACTATAAATAATGAACTGTAAATTCCCATGTGGACAGAATCTGTCTCCTGGTGTGCACAGGTATCCTGCACTCATATGATTCAATGTTTTTCAGAACCATGTATTAAAGAGATGTGGTATATGGCCAGGAGCAAAAAGGCAGGCTTTCCTAGCAACCAAAGAATTCTCAGTAACTCTTCTTATTTGTTTATACTAGCACAGGTACACTCAAAAAGGCTATTGCTGAGTCTGATAAATACAAGTCTCTGTATTTAAACACAATCATGGGATTATGTATGTATCCTTTAGGGAAGATTAATTAGAAAGAATTGCCTGTTAGCAACTGAAAATTAATTTCCTCTCTTAAAGCCTTTGCTCGGCAATACTCATTTCCAAAATTAATGCTTCTCATTTTTATGCAGCATGCATGCTGCCCAAGTGATGATGCTTACTCCACATAGCATAGTAGAAATTCTACTGCTTAGACACTATTTGGGTCCATTGATACAATAATCAAACCTTATAATAAATGACTGCATAATTTTCAGAAACTGTATTTGGTGGCATTTAAGTTGTAGAAATATAAAACTAAAAAGAAATTAATCTTTGTCATCCTAACCATATATCCTGTTTTCTCTTGCATGAGTCCATTAATATATATATAATTTGTTAATGAATGACCCAAATTCTAGCCTCCTAGTTAAAAAAATGACAACCCAAAATGTTCTTCTGAAGTTAATTTTTATCATATTTTTTATTCAACGTTTTTCTCCATTTATACTTTGACATAAATACACAAGTTTTATGGCTCATGTTACAAAAGACACTACTATGTGTTAGAAAACATACATAGACTATATCGTAGTGGTTACATTTGCTCCCCTTTTTTCCTATTATTTTCATAACTTCTATTAATCGAGAAAAGCAGTATTAGAAAACAAAATCCAACCCCCGAGCAGCACAGTCTACAACAGCTATAAGGACTATTTGCCAGCTGCAAGAGAAACTTTGGTTCCTGCCTGTTTTCATAGTTAGGTAATATCAGTAAGTTGCATGTCAAAAAGAAACATTGCACCTTGTGCTCAGTTAGTGACTAAAGTCTAGTTCGTGACAATATGTATTTTTAAAGACAAACATACAGCTTCTCTTTGCTTTACAGCTTAGTAAGATAAATAGATAAGTATTTTCAAAGTAGGGGAATCGAATGAGAGACTCATTCTTTTCTTATGGAAGTCACTGGCAAAACTCCCATGTTCTTTCAGAAGAGCGAATTTGGACTTTGTTTTTACTATTCTATTGATAGAACGAAGAAAAGCACATTTCAGCTGACAGGATAAATGTCTCTACAACTCTCAAGAATTACTGTAGAAGATCCTGTAATAACACCATGAATGGATTTCCAGTTGAGCATGTGGTGGACTCTACTTACTGCTCCTAGTGATCAGGATCCATCAGGGAGTCGATGTGATTCTCCAGTCCTGAAGGCAGGGACGTGGAATACCATGCCCAAGGAGCATGGGAAATAAAACCTGTGGTCTTTTTGCTGCAGTGTAGCCAAGGGATACTAGATTATATATGCTTTATACACAGAAGAATCTTTAAACTTGTTTTTCAGTATACATACATTAAACTGTACAATGTACTATTTCCACACAGTGGGCAAAGAGCAGCTCCCAGGGCCATAGCTACAGAAGAGTGTAGAAAATGAAACTGGCTTTGATCTCTCAAGCCAGTAGGCTCAAGGCAGTAGGTCAGGGAGAAGAAGAAAAGTTGGGGAAAATGTTGCCAGCTGCCTGGCTTAGAGGCAGTCTGCTTTTTTCTTTTTTTTTTTCCCCCTACCAGGACACAAGCCAACACTAAGCCTATGCCAACACTGACAAAACCCAACTGAAGTTGCAAGACACACAGCAAAAGACATTGAATAAAAGCAGAAAACAGTAATGAAGATCCTAAGCCTACAATCCCATCTGCAACAAGTATCCTTTGTGACTCACTGAAATCCATGCTATTATTCTCAGTGGAGAATGTGGGCAAAACCTCTGAAATCAGGATGCATATCTGATTTTGAAATGCTTATTTTGGTGCCACTTAGCAAGCAAAGACTGCCTTCACCAGAATTTCCTCTGTCCCAGTCACTGGTGTCAGGCATCAGGGAAGACCCGATGTTAGTCCAGTGCTCTGTCAAACTTACACACCCATTTTGGGGTTACCTTAATAGAGGTTTGCTTTTTAAAGCAGACAAGACTGAAAATTTTAGATGTACACAAATCTGCTTCAAAATTAAGAAAAGAAATTTCAGCAACATTTAAAAAACCCCAACCCTACTACTGCAGCCAACAAAATGCCTCAGTCTCTAGTACTGTTTGTCTTGAAATGGCACATGCTGGGAAACACAGCCGTTATGGTTGATAGTTATTTAAACTAGGCAGATTGAAACAAAACAAAGTGGAATCAATGCTTTGAATTAGAATTAGCAGAAACAATTTCAGGGCAAATCACCTCTTACTGGGATAATGGTACCAAAGTAGCCAGAAGTTTTATTTGATTCCAGTCAATGAAATTCCAGTCATCTGAAAAACGTTCTACTTCAGATATACTTAAATGGCATTTTACTGAACTGATGAACAGTATTAGAGTTCTAAACAAAACTGAAACTTAATAATTCTAATTTCTGTATTTCAGTCTACTGATGAGGGAAAAGAATGTTCCCAGCGACTATTCAACAAGTTACCTGCATTAACCAGATTTTGACTGAAGGATGTGTCTCATCACCATTTCTGGCAATATCTTTATAAGCAGAAGCCTTTGTCTTGTATTTCACACGTGCAGAGATTGGTGCAACAGGCAATCTCAGTATGAATCCTAAGTTCAGTTTCCTTTGGAAATACATCAATCCATGAATAAAATGTTGATTAGGTACCTACTTAGAATTCATCTTTTTAACAGTACCAAAGCAACAACTTGCCCATCTGAGGGAATGAAGCTGCCAACCCACTTTCCCAATACCCATTTACAGGACTGTGCTTTGCTGAAACTGGGTGAAAAGAAGTGTTCACCACTCAGGTATGACCATGTCTCTGCTGTTGCTGTTGCACTGTGACATTATTTGATAGATGCTTTCCTGGGGACACAGCACAACTCAGCTATTTTTCAACTTACAGTGATTATTTGGCCTTCCTATAGATACTCCTATATTAGCATCTATCTTCCCAATTAATTACTTAATTAATAACTTCATTATTAATTTACTGGATGTGCATGCCTCCTTAAAAATGTTGCAATCCATGTTTAGCTTTGATTTTGAGTTGCAGAGGGAGGATGTGTTAAGCAGCCCTACAATGTACAGCTGTCCTGTATCTATATTTTCTATTTGCCTGAAGTCATCCTTGCAACAAGTCGCATAGGCATTGCACCTACCAAGAAAATTAATGTGCTTTTTGTACTGCAACATTGCTAATAATACTGAGCATTAGAAATTAGTATTTTTAAAAATCTATGTTCTATGTTGAAATAAACAAATACTGATTAATTAATTTAGCCAGTTTTGTTCCAACCAAACTCTGTTTTGTGGAATGAAGTTTTAAACTATTATAATTTTTGCTAAATTAATATTAGCTCACATTAGACTACTTATTTAAAAATATTTGCTAATTTGTTAAAATCTACTGTTCCATGCAATATGTCACTTTGGAAAAAGTAGGAACAACTGATTTATGTAACCAGAAACCAGCATGAAACATGGCACGTCTTCCTCGCCTTCCCTAAGTGCTATAGAACATAATTAAGATATTTATAAATGTGAGTATAAATAAGGTAAGATATTCTAAAATCATTTAAATGTCCCTAACAGTTCCTTTTTTCTAAATATCAAAGACAGCACCAAGAGCTAAACATTTTTCAATACTCCAACACTGAAGAATATTCTAAGTATGTGAAGACTGCCTTGCACCCTTAATCCTGTGATCCAAGCCTACTGAAATTGCTCCCAGGTGTATGAAGTCTATCTGCTTGGGTCCTAAGCTGGCATTAGCCACAAAAGGAAATCACACTATTTTTAATAGCAGAAACAATCTTGGATTTAGTTCAGTTAGACATTTAATAGTGGGATTTGCCAGACCATCACTGAAGATACTAGTTCATCTTGTCGCTGCTGCTTGGTCTTCTTGTTCACTCTTCTGTGTCCTTGGCCACCAGAAATTACTAATACTGAACTTGCTTTCATTTTCTTAGATTTCTGTCTTTTACTTTTAAATGAGATGTTTTGATCCTTCAAAAGCTCATAAATATTACTGTCCTCTGGTCTGTGTTCTAGGGAACTTGATCCATGAGACAAAGTAAGGGATCCAGAAGATGATGACAAGTCACTTCTTTGTGCAATGGACCCTACTGAATCCCCCAGCCAAACTGCAGTGTCCTGGGTGTTACCAAGGGAAGAGCCTGGTCTTTCACTGTGCAGAATGTTCTTTTGGTCATCGTCCTTAGGTTCTGAGCCAGGAGGGAGGCTGTTCCTCAATTTGTTTCTGTTCTTTTTGTTTATAGATGTAGCTGTTACAAGAAACTTGACTGGGCTATTGTGTGCATGGTATGACACCATTCCTCTTCCTGGAGCCAAAAGAAAAGACACAATTAAAGGACATCATTTCTCAGGCCACAGTGTTCCACCACAATTAGTTCATGAAATTTGCTCAGAATAGCATAACTCTTGAAGCCCTATTATATGCATCCAATCTTTTGCCTTGTGTGGACGCTATTTACAGAAAAAAAAGTACAGAAATAATGTTCTACCACAAGTAGAACATTAGTTTTAGGACTAATAAATCAGCTGAAATATGGCATATGAACTTTAGATGATGTATTTTTGTGCTCTGTTCTCACTACAGCATGAGCACAGAAATACTGCTGACTTTTTAGCTGGCATCAACATAAATGTAACACTGAGTTTTCTCCAGTAATCCCCACATATTTTCTGTACCCCAAATCAATCCTGTTCTACTTCTGTACCTCTCCAGAATAGCATCTTTTTCATTGCAACAGACCCATACACACTGTACAACAGGAACTAAAACTCATCCTTCTGGTTTCCTAGTTACTATTACAGATTCATAAGGAATTGACTGAACAATCATTTTTAATTTTTTTTTTAATTATTTAATCAGTGGGATATTGGTACAAGGAAGATTTACACAGTGAAAATCATTAGTATGTATGGAAAACAAATTGCACATAGCCAAATTGAGAAGCTGTAAGAGTATCAATAGATCTGCCTTTTAGTGGAAAAAAAGGGAGGAAAAAAAAATTTGACCAAATAAGCTACAATATGGAAAAGAGCTAGGTTAGCAAGGGGAAAATCTCACAAACCTTAGAAATCATTACATCCATCCCTAACTCCCAAATGCATTTCACATTATAAGAAAACACATTCTGCTTTCAAAGGAAGTACAATCATATAAAGACGAATAATCGCTATTGGAAACATAATGGGGAAAGCCACAGTTTTTAAACTCAAAATAAGAGTTATCAAACACTATAAAAACAGATCTCTAAATGTAATGTTGCTAGATCTGTGAAATCTAACAAATTTTGATCCCAGATAAATGCAAGAATATATGACATAAACCAAAATAATAAAACCAGAAAATGGAAGAATGAGAGATTTTTTGATTCTGCAACTATGCATATTCTTATAATTGCATTTATTTTCACCTAAGATACGTTCCAGATTTTTACAAAGCATTTATCCTGTGTCATACCAGATTATTGCTGCGTATTTTGCTGAACACAGAGGATTTCATTTTCATTTTGTGAAGTTACATAAGCTTTTTTTTTTTCCCCTGGAGGAAGCTGCAAACAGCTTGCTCATAAAATCTGCTAGCTTCCCTCTGCACTACAGAAGCTTGAACAGAATTCTGAATCCAAAACACTGGGGAAAAGCCCCTCTTGAACAGTTTTAAAACCTTGCTTCTGCTAGTAGCTTAAGCATTTGTATAGTGATACAGCAGCATTTGTGTGCCTGTATTTCAAATGGGATAATATGAAAGTAACTCATAAATACATCTCTCCAGAATGCAAAAACCTTGACCACTGTTAAGAATGAAATATATACTCTCATATATTCCAAATCTCCAGTTTAGGGGAAAAGGGAACACAACCAATTTATTCAGAAACCAGTTAGACAACATGCTCATTTTTCAGTATCTGTGTTTCTAAAACACCTAATGCACCTATTTCCCCTAAACCTGGAAAAAAGACTGTTTGCATTCTCTTCTCATCCCCAGATATTTGGCTGTAACCCGACAGGATTAATGCCTATCTCTTAAAAAAGAACAGTCATCCCCTCTCAAGTAAGTGAGACAAAACTAGACAAGTATCTGGATAATACTGTAAAGCTTGGAAAGAACAAGTATAATTTCATCACAAAGCTCTAACTTTTATCTAAACAATATTTATATTTTGGCAGGTTCATATAAGTTACTGGCAGAAGAGAAGTGGTATCTTCAGTACTGTTTGAGAAATTTCACTCACCAGTTACTTTGGGAATCCCCTGCAAGCGTGGCACTGGTAAGGCTACTATTATACCCAAGTTTGTTCCAACCAGCAGTAAGCCATGGCACACCAGGAGGCTGGTCACAGAGACACGCTGCTGCCCTGTGGAGTTTAGCAAGTGCTCCATTACTGAACAGTCATGACCTTTGCCAAGATCAAAGCAACTTGAGGTAAACACAATCAGCTGTACCATCTTAATTCAGCAAAGCACGCATCACAAAGGTAAATATTTTCCTGGGTTATGGTATTACACTTTACATATATGACAATTTAAATATTACTGAACTTTTGAAACATTCTGCTCCAAATCTCTGAACCACAGCATCTAAAGGTAGACACAGACTGTCTCTACAAACATGCTTTCATGAATAGGCTATGACTGTATATTCCCAATAACAAAACTGAAAGGCATTTCATTTCACAATATTCAGTAACATTCTATACTCAAGACTCAAGCCTGTTCACAATAACTTTTTTCTCCTAGTTCTTGATCTGTGAAACTCTATCAGAAGTGCTGTATCCACCTGTCTAAGTTTGGGTCCCCGCATACAAGAATGGCATTGGCATATTGGAAGAAGCCCAATGGAAAGCAACCAAGATGATCAGAGGACTGGAGATATTAAAGGAAGTGCTGTCTGCACCTACCAAGATGGAAGGATGTGCAGAAGACAGTCAGACTCTATCCACATGTGCACACTGATATGATAAGACAACATGCTCAAATTTAGAGCATGGAAAAATTGTATTCTACACAGGGAAAATCTGCATCACCATAAAGGTGGTCAAAAACTGCAATGGGTTGCTCAGAGAGGTGGTGGGATCTCCATCCTATCCAAAAGTATTAAAAATTTGGCTGGACAAAACCTTGAACAACCAGGTCCAATCAGGTCTTCTTCATGAAGGATGAACAAGACAGCCTCCAGAGTAAGTTCCAATCAAAATTACTGTATGATTCTCTGCTTTTCTACAATATTTACAGGAATGCAATTTTTCTAATGAAAACGAAGTTATTTTTGCTTGCAATGCTTACTAAAAATGTGTTTGATTCAGTTTAGATGGATTTTCAAAATGGCCTTGACAAGTTTCAGAAATGGAAACCATGATCTGCCCAAACTTTTGCCCAAGTTTATGGGGAGGAGCATTTAAACTCTGCTCAAAGCTCTAGGAGTTTCAGGTTCAAAATATACATTCTTGGATTTATTATTAAGTCTACATGTAAGAGAGCAGTCATTCCAGCATCATAGCTCTCAAGTTGTGAATCACTTCATTAGTAGGCCAAGAATTTGAATTCTACGTTTGATTTCACTTGAGTGAATCCTCATGTTCAACACTTTGGAGAAGGATCTTAATTGTGGTGTTTCACAAAGCAATGCATTTTCTGTCTTGTCCTTCGAAGCTGAGCTAATTTACATCTAAGAATATATGAATTACAGACTCATTGGGAAAGCAGGGAAGGAGCAGCTTGACAATTGCCCAAAGCACTTGACTGGAAAACAGGAGGCAGACCACAGTCCAAGTCTTTCCTCACAGGACTTTACAAAACCAAAATATTAACCACGCAATGATGTGTTTTAAGAAGTTCACATAGGGTCAGATCTGGAATCCAAGGTCTATCTACCTAAAAGCACATCCTAAAACACCCTAAAGGCACAATGATTAGGTCATCCTGGTCAGGTGTAACAAGGACAAGGAAGTTTAAAAAGCCCCATCTACTTGTGCAGACCTTCAAAGACTCCTACGTTGAGTTCCATGGACTATAGGTCTTTATGCTGATAGGATTCATCATCCCTCCTCAGGTAAATAAGAAAGGATGGTCTATGTTGTACACAAATTACAAATCTTTTGAAGTTTGCCCTTTCAATGGGTTTGTTGTTTAGTTGGGTTTGGTGTTAGAGAGTTTTTTTTTTTGTTTTGGCTTTTTTGAGATATTAATGGGATTAATTTAGTTTCCAAAACAAAGCACACAAAGGCACTTCTTCAGCACAAAAGTCCCAAGAGTAATGCCCAAACACCTCTGTGTTCTGGAGTTTTCAAAAATCAGTATTTGAATTCTGTGTTTTACTGCTCAGGCTTGCTCAAGTTATTTACAACATGTGAGTCCTCTCCTACCACTTGTACCAACAGCAAGTTCAAGCTAATGTTAGCTTAACTTAGAGCTTGTTTTACAAATCACAGAAATACTTGAGTGCAATTTTTAAACTTTTAATATTATCAAAAGCTGCACTGTTGCCTCTCAATACCCTGAAGAAGCAAGACACTCCTATTTTTAAACAATTGAACTTTAATGCTTTTTGGTTATTTAAAATATAACATTAAAATTTATTATTTCATACTCCAAACCTGAAGCAACTTTTAGACAATAATTTTTACCTGGCAAATATGCTTTACTGTTCCCACAGGTAAAACCAGCAAACTATCAGCCAGCAACTTAGAATCTTAAACACTGAGCACAAGCTAAAGCATTAAACAGCTACAGTGAGGGCAAAACAAAAATTGCTTGCTGTGAAATCTTGGAAAAGCAGGAAACATCTGCATCTGAGAAGATACTTTGAAATAACATAAAACAATAAAAAAATATATACGTGTATATATATAGATAAAAAAAACTAACTTCAAAGATTAATTTATCTGCTAGCCAAGGTTTGAAATCATATTTATCTTTGTTATTTTCTGACTTTTTGTTTTGATATATTTCAATTTCAGAGAGAAATAGTCAATCCAAATCTCCAGAATGTATAATGCAATAAGCAGACAAATTAACAAGTTAAGAGGGGGAAATTATAAACATGTTCCAAAACCAATAAATTATTCATCTTTAAATAGCAACTTTTAGATGACACTGTCCCAATGAGGAAAAAACTGTAAAATCTGTAAAATAATCTGACCAAGATCTTGACTTTACAAGAACTGAAGCCAATAATGAAGTGTATGGTCTGCTCTGTGTTCGCCTTTCTCAGGTCTCCATTACAACAACCATCAGAGCTGGATAAATCCTCACAGATCTGAATTCAACCCCAAGTAGGTGCAAGGACATTGCTGCATATCCTTTACATGGCCATGCTGCTCTTACAGTGTAAAAAACCACCCACTGTACAGATCCGCTGGGCTGACCTAAAGTTTTCTCATCTTTTTATCATTTCTCAGCAATAATCATAAAGCAACTGCATTGCATGGTCTGGAACCTGGCAGGGTGGGAAAAAAGCAAGCTGTAAAGCTTCATAGTAGAGTTGGTTTTCCTTAGAGAGGAAATGATAGGTTTTTTTCTTTGCTTTTGCTATCTGTTTCCAGGAAACACACATGCCATTAGAGGATATATAGATATAAACAGAATACAGCAAGTTAAGCAGAAATCATCTCTTTGTTAAACAGGTACCCTGTCATCATCCATACGAGCAATGAACTATCAAGGTCACAGTAATTACAGCAGTCACTTTAAAAGGGCAAAGTCTTTTAGAGCTGCGAGCAAAAATATGTTTTTTATGTTCTTTAATGAAATACTGACTGTGACTATGAAAAAACAAGTGGTCTGTTCATGAACAGTATGATTTTTTTTTTTATGTAAGCTGGTGAAAAACTACCTTTGCTGATCCTTCAGCTACAGATCACAAACATTTAAGCATAAACTTGCTCTACAACTGACATATGTTGCACTAGTGAAATGTGTGTATTTGTCTTCAAATGTTAATAGATCTCTCTGCTGCCCAGTATGCCCTCTGTTAAGATAACAGAGCTGTGCTTGGGCTCCTTAAAAGCAATCCAGCTGTACTGTGAATCCACAGTGAACTAGACAGTGAAATTAACAGCTAGATCTAAAACGTGATTATCTTCTTCCTCTCAACCATTCTTGGCCTTTCACACATAGCATTTTGTCTTTTCATTACAGACCACAATCTTGTTACACATTATTAAGCAATATTTCTGATGATATATGAAGCAAAGGTAGTGCAGACCAGTCTAGACTAAATGTCTATCCCACAGTCACCTGTGACCCTGATTTAATTTCCTACACACAAACTTCCCATAGCTCCAGAAAATGAGAGCCTTCCAATCTCCAATACTCGAAAATGGACTGCCACAGATTTAAAATTACTTCCAGCAGGTAAAAGAATCTGCCAGACACGGTCTGTTTTTTTTGCATTTCTAAACTCCACCAAATCATGAGGACAATCACCTTTTGTGGCATTTCACTCCCCTGTGATTCTGTCCTTTACAAGACAGAGAGCTGTGATATTTAACACTGTCTTCTTCTAAGAACAAAACTGGGAAAATTTAATGCCATGAGAACTAATTATTAAGGTTTTGAGACCCTCCTACTCTGCTTAGCTACTGCAGTTATCTTTTAAGTACAGTACAGTAACTGACAGTAACCATTCCTAACAGTGACAGTAGTTTTACTCATACTGTATAACAACAAAAAAATTTCATTAACTGAATGAAGCAACATTCCTCTTATTTACATTACTTTAAGTGAAGACAGAGATAACATCTCTAGGTAGCCTACTGGGCCACTATTGTTACTACTAAAATCCTGGGAAAAGTCCAAGTTCTTCAAATTTTACAGAAATCTTGCCTTTTAAAATCTCTCTTCTTAAGACTCTTAACAATATTTTTACACCAGTTTCTTCTCTCATTTCAACACCACTTGAATTTTTACTTATCTGTTATTTCTGCATATTAAGGAACTTCTGTTGAATTTCAGAAAGCTAACAGAGCTGTTTCCTTTAAAACTAAACATCATAAAAATTTCTCATGAAGGCAAATACATATATTATAATACACAGCTATTTCACCATGTTGTAATTCAGTTTCACTTTGTTGGTTTTTTATCCGTTTTTTTTCTCAGTATATATGATACAGAACTTGATTTATTCTTTAGCTCCTTTTAGTTCCAAAACTGCTGCTTTACTCCTTACTGCTGCTTTATTATGTAAACCTCCTACTACTCTGTCTTTTAGCTTTTGTTGCAACATTTTTGAGATCATACAAACAGGCCTGAGAGCTGCTGCTTAATAATTGAAATTCAGTTCATTTTTAGAAAGGAGTCTCCCTTTGAACATTTGCTGTAATAATGTCTTTACTCCCGAAATAAACTTCCATTTCCATTCACTGGTGTGCTTTCTGTGAAGACACTGAGAAAAAAAAAGGAACTAAAATGGGTAAGAATGACACCAATGAGCTATAATTAGCTAAAACTCTTTTACAAAAATAATTGTATGTTATATCAGCAGTTTTATTGCCATGGCAATAACACAAAGCTAAATTTTAAAATATTTTTATATGCAGAAAATACGTATAAGGGAGGTCTTACTTCCCTTTTCCCTCTTGCTATGAACAGCAGAACATACTAAAAGTTATTCATTTTACAACTGATCTTGATTTCTTTGCACAACTCTGATGAATCCAATCAAATTATCTATTTAAAGGCAGGTGATTTGCTGCTGTTCAGTGCTGGAGCTACAGTCAAACACCACATGTAAAAAGCACTCAGTCTAGAACATGACAGACACAATTTATAATGGAGTTTTATTGCAAAGCTGATGTCATCTGAAAGAAAATATGGTAAGAAGACAGAGACTGAAAAAGTGAAACATTTTTGATGCAAGATTTATACCTAACTCCTGTGAGAATATAAATAAAATCTCTGTGTGGGAAGAACTGGCTTCAGCTAGAAAAACTAAGCAATAAAGCTGGCACACACGTTGCCCATAAAAACTGCAGAAGCTTGGTCTATTCCAATCTACAAACAGAGAGACAGAAAGAACAGTTGTCCACTCATGGATACCTCATGCTCAGCCATGCCAGTACTTTTGTCTGCTCCCAACACTGCCCCAGCTCCCACCTGATGTGCTTAATGATGCTGAGGCCCTTGTCACTCACTTGCTGAACTGATACAAGCCATTTCAACTGCCTATTGAACATCTTCTGTCTTCAAACATGTAAAGAGCTTTAATTTTTAAAAAGTTATCCTAACAACCACAGATTAGATCTAGATTTAAGACTAATCGTTTGTTTTAAAAAATTAGAGCTCCAGTCAGCAAAACACTGAACACATTCCAAAATGGCACCATGTGAGTGATTCAGCTGAGTTCCCTGGATCTAGTGATGTAACTAAAATTAAGCAAGTGGTTTTTTGGTCCAAATCCTAGGCAAAATTATTCTATCATGTAGTTGATGCTAAGGTTCCAAAAGCAAATGCTAATCTCTAATTTTCGTGACAGATTACATTGTCCAACTGTTTCACAGTCACCCAATATGACCAAACAGAAGAATCTACTTGCTTATTTATCTAATTCCATTGATAACCTCTGAGGAGAAGAGCTGTTACTCAACCAGCCCACTGCACACATCTCACCAGGGCAGGAGATGGACTATAACTTACTAAAGCAAATAGTCAGAGGAGACATTTTTCAGACTTCTGATTCTGGCCTAATCTACAGAATTGGAGAACAACAGTGATAAAACAAAAATGTTACCATATTATGCAATTCAGCTACCTGGCAACATATTGTGAACAGGTGTGGCAATGTTAACATCCTGGAGGTGTTTCAGTGTCTCTGTGTGGAACAGTCGAAGAGTAGATCCAGATGTAAAGGCAATCCAGACTCCCACTCCAGCCACAGCCATGTGAGAGATTACCATCCCTTCCTCTTGATGGGCTTCAAAATGGTTCTGAAAGAAAAAAAAGGGTTCTGTAGGGAGATGCAGTCAAGGATATCACTCGACCTTTCTTACCAGCTTTTCAGTGTAGGCACTCTATCTTCATCCTCTTTGACAAGGACAAAGCTTCCCTCTGCCTTGCTCAGGATATGTTCTCATAGCTGCATATGATGTGCTAATTTCCCTGGGACTTTTTTTGGAAATAAGTCATCATTGGTATAGAAGGTTTCTCAGCTCTTGAGCCAAGGTTCTGTCTAATGACAGAGCAACTCCAATTTTCTGTTTTTTTAAAATATTGCGTGATAGTGGCTGGCAAGCCCGAAACAGCTCAGACTTAAAAGGATTTTGTATTTCTTTATTTATATTCCTTTGGGAAAACTACCACAGCTGTACTTTTATCTGTAGCAGAACTTCTATTTCATCAATTAAAAAAATACTTTTCTTTTGTTCTGCCAGGGAGTTTTTTATAACAATAACAGAATGTAATAAAAAGTCATATTTAGATAGTGTTTAAGAATATAAACGCACAATTATTTGCTCAATTACACACATAACAATGTCAGCCTTAATACTGTGGTTTGGTTTTTGATGCTTCTGAATGTCACAAGTATTAGCTATTTTGTTTTCCTGTCCTTCAAAGAACTGATATTTTTCATTATAAAAGCCAAAATCCTCTTTCTATATGTAAGCAACACAACATTTTGAAGATAGACCTTTTTCCTTGACCCAGTGCCAGTTACAACCCGGCTCGAAGAAGGCAGAAACTCCCTCTCTGTATGTCTCTATTAACATGTGAGATAAAGCTGTAATAGTTTCTTAATCATTAACAAGAAGGAATTCTTTTCCCCCCAGTTTTGTCTTGTAAGAAGATTGTCTCTGAAGTTGAACACAGCCTTTTATTGTTGTGCCAGCTATTTTTAGAAAGCCAGTCTGATAAACACAAAACTTACTTAGCTAAATAAATGACTAAGTGTTCCTTGGATAAAAATCTCTCGCTGAGGAGTATGGAAGTAATATGTGCTCTAATATTCACTGAACATATTATATACTCTTTATTACATTTGCAGATAAAATGTAGAAGTACCTACTCCTTCCTTGTGAAATACACTTAAAGTTTCCAGGCGTTACAATTAAGAGTTACATTTTGGTATTTTTTTAAATTAAAATTTAAATATAACAGTGCTATATATATATTTTTGAAATTTTCCATCAAAATTCAACTCACAGGCTAAGATTGGAGACAAAGAATAAAAATTTAGGATTTCCACAAAGCATAACTTTTCATATTATATTTAGTCTTAATTTATTTTTCATACTTTATTACTGTATAAATTATTATTTTCACTGAGAAATTTCTGTTTAAAGAGAATGGGAATTATCTTCTGTGGTTTTCATTTGTTAACATTATTCTTCCAATGTTCAGTTTTTAGTAAATGAACAGAATTTTCTCTTCAGCTGTCAGGCAGTGGTTCAGATTTTAAGTGTTACTGTATTATCTTTTGATTCTTTGAATAATAACACTGCAGAATGTAAGGTAAGCAACTCTAGCAGGCACATTTATATTCACTGTTTTCCTCAAGTAACCACTACGCATTTGTTACCAAATGACACACACAATTTGAAAATTATAAAATGTATTCAACAGAAGAATTTATCCATAAAAAACATCTTTCAAAGTCAGAAACACCCTTTATGACTAGATTTGCTGATATTCTCATCCTGCATATTTCATTGCAAAAAATATTCTAAAAATATTTACTTTGTTTATAGACTCATACATCCCTACACTGGTGATTAATTGGCTTTTGAGAACTTCTAGGTGATAGACCCATGGCTGCTGAAGCAAACCTGACCAGTAACTTGCACTCTTCAAAATTAGAAAAAAATTAAGAAGATTGTAAAAAAAGAATTTTCTCTGGAGTGATCCAACTGCAGCTGACAACTGTGTTTGTGCCACTGAAAACAACTTGCACATGCATTTTTGTCACATTCCATTTTTACCAGCCAACTCATTATACTCCCACTTAAGTCTGTCCTGCCATTCGTACAGCTATCTGCTGGAACACACAGACCCATTTGAAGTAGAACTGTATACTGCAAACATGACAAGACCTGTAGAAAGAACTATTCTTCTCATTGAAAGGGTCTTCTAACATGGAGCAAGAACGTACCCCAAAACCGCACCTTCTTATGCATAAATTGTTGCATAAAGGATAGCTTTGACATCTGTTTCAATTACATGTCTATCTGAAAATCTGTGAGCTGGCCTTTTGCTTCTATTTTTCTTTTCCTTTTATAACAAGAAATGCAGATACAAAGGAACAAAGATGTCTTATCCCTTTTGTTAGCAAAAGAATTGAACTTCATTTTCTTTTTCTCTTTTAGTTTCCATACCTACATTCCTCTCTATTCAAAGCCTGGCTTTTCCCCCTCAGGCTCTGCCATTCTAACTACAGCAGCACAGGAGCTGCAGAAGGCATCCTGGATGCCACAGCCCAATGAAGCTCACCAGCGTTCCAGCAGTGTGGGACACAGCAGAGCCTTTCTTTTGAGGGAGTGCTCTCTTACACCAAACTGCATTAAGAGATGAACCACGGTTTCTCCAGCTTCAGGTGAAGAGGATAATGGGTGCCATTACCCTCAACATCAAACAAATGTCTTTCACTGCTTTACAGAAGTTACAATACTTGGGCAACACACAGATATATAGGGATTTCCATTTTTTTGTTTGCTGAGCTGAACCTTTCAGTGTAGCCTCCTGTATAGTCAGCAAAGTTTTAAAAACAGGACAAAACAGGCTAGGATAGAATGACACCTTGATGACACAGTAACTTTATTAAATACTCTGGCACTTTTTGTAGCTTTGAAACAAGCACAAACTGCTTTTGCAGAGTACAGGGAGCTCTGGGCACAGAGACCATTATTGGATGTACCCAACAGCAACACAAGTGTCAGATCTAGGGTCAAAACGAAGTGACCAATTTCTTCTTCACAGAAAGAGGATCAGAGTATGTAATTAATATATAACAACAATTGATGCATTTCTCATGTGTGCCCTCCCACAGTTCTTGAGGCATTGTGCCAGTCTGGGGCATTGTGCCAACAAAAGACATTACCTAAAACATTATATTACAGTAACATATCATTAGAACAAGTGAACTGAGAGTCCTACCCATATCAGAGGGGGGAAAAAAGCAGAAGTGAGTACTATCCAAATCCAATACACACAATGTCAAACCTGTGCATTTACTAAAGATTATTAAATAAAAAAAAATCTTAAATAAAAATCTTAGAAAAGCAAGGAGGCATGGAATAAGATTTTCTTCAAGCGTACTCTGTACATTTGGACTTTAGCAAATGCACAGAGTTAAATATGAGATATGAGAAATATGAGATAAATATGAGAAGCAAAGAGTGCCTCACAAGAACAAGTTTTAAAAAGTCTTGAATATGCTCATATGAATATGAGTCTTGAATATGGACTTACACAAATATGGCCTTAAAATCTTGCCAGATGCCTTTACAGATAATGTACATGATGAAGAGCACACAGTATGTATGCATGACAGTAGCAACGAACTAGCAAGAAGCTGCATTGCAGTATACAATGGAGTACCTCCACGTTAAGTATATGGAAATATAAAGGAGTTCAATAAAGAGGGAAGAGTAACAGGTGAGCCCCGTGCTTGGATTCCTGTTGACAGAGTGAAGATCACTTCTATGTAAACAATCTTGGGTCAAATCACTACGACTAACTCTCAACAAGAGAGAGCACAGAGGGAGAACAAACATTTCCTTGCTGCTGCTTCCCCTCATAGCAAAGATTCTGCTCTTCACCTTAAGTAAGAGGCAGCTCAGATGTTAAAATATTTGCTATAGACAGTTTAATTTGCCTCATGTATTGTATAATATTGAAACAATATTGCCAGTGAACATGGTAAAGACAACACAGCAGATCACTTTTGGAAACATAAACCTAGGAAGTTAACAAAACAAGTCAGGTCACAAAGTAGGCAGCAAAACTGAAATCATTAGTGACCTGTTTAGTCTGGTGAGATGATAAGAAAAAGATCAGTATGTCTTAGTACCCATAAAGAAGCACCAGAAAGTCATCACTAGATCACAATTCCATGAGGATGATGGCATGCTAGGCCATGGGTATTTGTGTGGAAAAAAAAAAGATGACCCTCAGCCAGACGTACAGAAAATCATCATGTTCTTGAACAAAATTATTTTATTGCGAAAACACAACTCATATGCACCATTTCTTATATGTTGCTTGCTGCAGCACTTACTGTGTGTACAATAGACCTATAATAACCTGAGCTCTGACTACAACAGATGGCTTAGTTGAGAAATGAGAAGAAATCTCCTGTGATGCTTTTATAGGAAAATCTGTAGTAACAGCTGAAAAATGAAACTGCCATGTCTAAGAGATATTGGTAGAGTACTTGTTATTTTATGTCTCCAAACTTCTGTTTTCAATACTGCAGTCCATGACATTTTACTGTATTATGACAGAACAAGCTTTAAACATTCTTTAATCCTCAAAGTTTGTTTAACTCTGGGTTTGCTCTCCTCTGCCAAAACAGCCCAGCATAGCCCAAACTGCAGCCTTACCACCTGACTTAGGGAGAGCTTTGTTACAGAATTAGGCCAGACTTGCCAAACTTATTTACAGAGATCTGGCTGTACCTATCCAGCCTCACATAGGAACAACCTGGCTGATTTCTTACCATTTTCCCAGTGAGAATCTGAGAGATTTTACCAAAGCATATAGAAAGCAACCATGTGTCCCAGAGGCTGTGAAACTAATAAAAGTCCATTTCAAGCACATATCCAAACCACTCATCCAAAATCTTTCCTTAATCATACCATTCAAAGTACCAACAAAACAAGCCTTAAAAAAAAGCAAAGTAGGAGAATATATGATCCAAGCATCGTATTAGATGAAACAAATCTCTCAGAAAACACAGAAAAAGACAGAGGAAATTAGGATGTCAGCTATTTCCCTGCAAACCCATGACAGTGACTCACAGAATCAATTGTACCAAACACACAATTGTTGGGAGAAAACACGATCATCAAAGAAAAAAATGCAGCAACAAAGCACACAAAGAAGGAGGCTGTGAGCTCATCATGACTCCTGTTTGAAAAAACTTCATGGCTGTAAACATCAGGCAATTCAGTGACACTCTATTGTAGGTTGAAGGAGAGGTTGAACTAATGTTTCATCAACTCTTAACTTTGGAGTACTAAGATGTTCTTTTGGTGAAAGCTGCAATTTTGACAGAAATAAGGGCTTAAAATTTTCTGAAAACTGTGGTCACAAATGTTACTCTGAACCCTTAACACTTCTCTTATTCTGAAAAAGCTGGCTTTTGTGTGACAATTCATCAGCATGCACTCTTATGCAAATAAAATTTTTGTAGGCCACCGAGAAGAGAAACTCTGAAAAAATATATGACGAAATTATCACAAGGTACAAGTAACATATAACTATATAGAGGCAGACTCTTAGTTAAACCTTGTTCTGTAATTAACATGAAATTCTTATAGGCATCCACTTCTCTGCTGCCTTACCTCAGATTTCATTTTCAAGAAAATCTCTTGCCCCAGATGCTCTTGTCATTTCCAAGCATCTTACAGAAACCAGTGGGTAAATGGGAGCAAGGTCTAATGAGACATCAGCACAATTACAAACTAAGGGAGTGACATTTAAAAGATCTGAGACCACATTCAATAAAAAGCTTCCTGAATCATGATGCTTCTTAGACAGATTTTAATTTTAAATTTTACCACTTATACCCTGAAGCATAATAGGTGAGCAATGCTTCTAAAAGTGTTTACCTCTATGGAATGCGTCACAGTGCTGATTATAAAAATTTGTCCACCACATGCAGCCCAAATGGTCTCCTCCATCACAAGCAGACTCCTTACAGGCAGAACCCCCAATTTAACTATCTTCTGGGGTTCTGTGTTCCATGTCCCATCTTCAAAAAAAAAAAAGAAAGAAAAAAAAGAAGAAGAAAAAGAAAGGTTATACACAAATTGTGATCTTTGCTTTAAAACAGTTCTGAAAACTCCACTGCCACTTCAAGCTACACTGTGATTTGTGTATGGTTACTTTTACTTCCAGGGTAAATTTGTAAGGATAAAACAACGTTAAGGGGAAAATCCAAACCTAAGTATTCATGTATCTGTCAACAGCAAATCTCATCTAGATTAAATTATAATTCAGGAATACCACATTGCTGTTCTGATACAACTGCTTTCCTTTCCAGAGGAAATAGTCAGAAACCCTTGGTTGACACAGTTGTCCCCAACTCAGAGGGAGCTCATGACCAACTTCAAGCTGAATCAATTTCTAACTAGGACAGAATCATCTTTCATGTGCAAAGTAGTCAGGAAGATTTTTACTGTAAGCTCTAATGAGTGCAGATCACTCTCTAAGAGCATTTTGATGGAATGGACCTTCCTGCTACTACTAGATGCTTCATTTAAGACAGAAATTAAAACAAAAGAAGAAATCAAAACTGGGTCTTGTGCCATATTTTCACTTTTTTTACTTTTTCCACTAATTATAAAACCCACAGTGTTTTCTTTAGACTGCATTTAGCAGATCTAAATTAAATTATGTATGTGTATGTGGCACAATTATCTATTTACTGAGGTTCTGGTAAGAATTGCATGTTTCCTCAATTTCCACCTCTTTGAAACAAGGACTAGCAGATTATTTATCCCCAAATTTAAGAATCAGCAACATGAGCTTCTTGAAACAGTTGTAGCTTTATCTTTTATACATAAAAATTGACATACTAAGTATGTCAATAATAATTTTAATGTTTTCATATTAGTTTATATATTGTAAGTGCTCATTGAATATACTCTCAAAGATGACATTTCTATACATTATGATTTATTAATAATATAAAAATCTGTTAAAAGTAACTGGGTTTTACACTGAGATAAAATATTCCAAAAAGCACCATTGCTTCATTGAAAAGCCTTCTTCCTGCACAAGCTGCAGAAAAGTTATCTACTTTTCTGACACTGGTTTCAACTCAGTAACCACTTAAATTTTGATTGATGAGACCAAATTAAACACATCTTTAGGCAAGCACTTAAGTACAATTTTTTTCTCGTCCTTCCTGAAAACAAGTGCATCTTCTATTATTTGCTTAGAGAATGGGGGTAGAAAATTTCCTGCTTCATCAATAACAGTAGCAACAACAAGAATGAGAAGCCTCAGTTCTGGAGTGCTTCTCAAAATTTCTGTCATCTGTGTGATACAAACTTCGCTGAGTCATTCTCAGGATGTGGCTCTCTTCTGAAAGCATCTTTGTAGAAGTGACATTTAGTTTCAGGCTGTCAAAATAATTTTCATTATTTTAGTTTGCATTGAAAAGAGTGCTTCCAGTTATAAGCCTGCAAACTCTCCCAGCAATGTCAGAGTCACTGTGTTCTCTATGACTCATATGTACTATTAGTAGCTAACAAACTTCTGGAAAAGTTTCCATTCTTTAACAACCACATTATCCACAAATTAAATTCCAAACTTCCCATACCCTATGATTACTGTGGCCAGTGTAGGCAGTGCAAAGCCTTCAGAGAGTGAAGCTGCACACGTGCATGTCACAACTTTCATTGGGCAAGGGATGCTGACTGCAGAAGTTTAACAACAATCTGTACATAGCACCATTCTTAGGGATAAACCCAGCATAATTCTGGTACATTCTTCCTGTCTTTTCTGAAGGATAAGGACTGTGAGTTTGGGCAAGGAGCAGATATGCTGAGCAAAAAGCTATATTTTCAAGTTATATTTTCATGCTGAAAAAAACATTAATATAAAACAGAAAGTTCATCAAACTAGACAATAATTTATATATAAAGCATAGGTGATATCAAAACAACAGGAAAATATGGATTTTCAGGATCTCAACTGCGGACTCATTTACATTTTGCTTAAAATATATTTCAAACATTTAATGCTTTAATCTTTTTTTTTAAATCTGGACGTTTATGCCCTAAAGTTCCATGTAACTCCTCAGATGACTAAGCATTAGGCCTTATTAATAATTTTGATCAATGTAAGAAGGTTTTTTCAATACTATCAATGTTATAAATACGAACTGAGTCATGTATATCTGATTCAACATATATGCCTAAAAAAACCTCAGTTCTCACAAAAACATTTTCTGTTGGTGTGTGTTTTAACACAGTACTTGACAATCCAGTTTTAGAGTTCTGTAGGATTGGACATACGAAGAAGGTGAGATAGAGGCCCCATGTCTTTCATCTTACCACGATTTCATGGAAAAAACCCTGAAATCCCATTTGATGTATCAGCCCAGGAAAAATCTAAAGCTATCACTCTACACTATGACCCTAATCATGTGATAAAGCTATTCTCTAGTGTTTTTTTATTTCTTCCTGCAAATATTGCTGTCTTCCAGATCAGACAGAATCTGAGACAGATGAGGAGAAAAAAGGGTAGGGGGACACTCTCTAGTCTAGTAATTAGAGCGGTATTCAAATGATGTGTCAGCTGTGTTCTGGACCCTGCCTCAGTGAATGATTAATTAATTATACAAAGTGGAATGGCACCAGGAGGACAAATTAAGCCCTGTGCATCTCTCTCCTCTCATTTTGTGGCAGCCAGGGAAATCTCTTGAGAGTGGAAAGCATGGGTAAAAAAACACTCAAGCAAGGCAAGGGATTAAGCCTGATAATCCAATATATGTCTGTAAATGCTTTAGCCACAGGCCGCTGGCTAAAAGTAAGATCACTACTTCATTTTGCTGAGTGAGAATTTTATCACCCATCTCCAAAATTACTTAGCAAGTCTGTGTCTAGCTCACAAGTGGTTTAAGAGTACCAAAATCACACTTTGAAGAAAACATAATGCTCTCCCTGCCTCTTTTTCCAGATCTCAGCAGACTCTGTTCAATACCTGCCTGCACAGACTTCATGTTTGACACTGGCTATTTCATGTTATCTGTCTGATCCAGTGTCCACTGCTTTTAAAATCTAAGGGAAAATAAATATTATCTCTATCTGACTTGTGTAAACACCTGCAGATTCAAGACATGCTTATGTAAGTAGTTTCAACAACTGGCACTATCCAGGTACTTAAAAGTAGTCACAGCACTTGCAAAACAGATAAGGAACAGCTTTGTTTGATGCTATAAAATCCTTTGCTAGTAACTGACTAAAATAAGTTTATTTTTTCCTGGCAAAAGAGAGAAGAAGCAAGCCAAGATAAAACTTTTGCCAACAGAATCTCAAGGCATACTATATGAATTGCAGGTACAGCTGTTTGCAGGAAAGAGATGTGTCTACAAAATCTGAGAACAAGGTTAAAGATAGAAATGAATCCAGGGGCTTCTGGAAATTAGATGTCATATATTTATGTTGTATGTAAGATGCTTGATATTTGCATATTAAATGAGTATAAAAAAAATAAAATATTGATTTTATACTAATAGATCTGTGTTATGTCACTGTGTTATGCCACTATTTTTTATATTCTTTGTAAGTTATATTTCTCCAGAAGTTACATGCCATAGTTTATACAACAGTGTTGAACAGTATGTTGCAATACATATATCATGTTTAGCTGCATCAAAGTAAGGTCTCTCATGCACATAAAATATTTCTAAGACTTTAATGTAAAAGGACATTATTTTCATTAGTGCATTTTGTTATTAGTCTTGTGATTTTTATGAATTTGAAAAATTAGTTTATCCTTCTATTCACTCAAATTTAATCAGATAGGAAAAGTTTTAAAACAATGTCCATTTCATCTTTCTGTGGTTTGTTTCCACAAAACCAAATGAAGGAAAGCAATACTATTTTACAGTAATTTATAAGAATAGGCTTCCTATTATTAATTTATAGATGTTTTAAATGTTTAGGACTTGTAATATTTGTAATTAGTTAGTGCACTCCGCTCTTCCTATGAGATAACCTATTAACATATAGTTTATTTCCTCAGAAAGTCTTTTCAAAGTTTGTAGTAGTGTTCCCTTCCTCTATGCTTTCAGTCAAGCTGAACCGAGCAAGTGTATTTGTTGACAGCTTCCTCTCTTTCTTAGCAGCACTATTGATGGCTTCACAGCAGAGCTGCCAACACAGCCCTGGGAACAGCAGTTCTTGGTTAATTAGTGCAGTGGAGCACAAACATTTTTTCCATCACATGGTACATAAACCAGCACTGTGGAGGAGTAAAATAGTACCTACAGAATTCAAAAGTTTAGCACATTCCTTATCACTTGAAAATAAGATGAGGTACTCAGGCCTGCTCTTCTAAACAATGTGTAACTACGAATGTCCTATACTGTGCATGCATACTCATTTTTTCTCCCATATGCATCAAATTCTTCAAGCTAAACAGCTGACAGAGCTCTTCCTAAAGTTATACAGGGTGGTGCTGGAGGTCCTGGCACGAGATAAACAAATAAGACTGAAAGCAATGTCAACATATTTCTGGTAATGAGCGTTGTGTGACACTGCAAAGACAACAATATTTTATCTCTGTTTCAGTATCACTGCTCTAGTCCCTCCCCAATAGCTTATACCACTGCTTACTTTTCATAGCAGTACCTCTCACAATGTCTACTTGAAGTGGCAATCACATGCCAGAAATCCACTCTTCAGACAAGCTAGAGCAGTACATGGGTCCACTCAAGCTCTGACTTTGACATTAGAGTTTTACATTCCATATATTCTTCCTTTCCTCGATTTGTCAGAGGACACAGGCCTTACCAAAAAGGTACCTCACCAGTCAAATGACTTGATACTCCTTTGCTGTTGTAACTGTCTCCCCTTACCCTTGTATTTCCTTGCAGTTTTCATCGTTCTCCTTGATATCAATCCTCTAAAAATGCTCACTTGATTAGTGCCACAAGGCCTCTTTAGACAGATAAGTCATCAAAACTTCTGACCAGCCTTCAGACCTCCCTGTGTTCTTACCAGTAAAGTTTCTACTGTTCTGTGCATGGCCAGAATTGCCTCAGCTATTATTTCACCTGACCAAATTCTTACTGAACTACTAAAATATAAATTCTTCTACTTTCTGCCACAATAAGTACGAGTTTTTATCTTCTTTTTCCTGTTTCTCTCCTGTATTCTTCACAGGATTTTATGAAAAGGAAATGTATATCAGTGTCTAGAAGAAAGGAAGTAGCTGGAACTGGCTACAGTGTATCAGGAACAATACACCTATATTATATAAAGATTGTGATTTCCCTTTCCTAAGATACTTTTGTGAATGGAAGTCAAACACGCGCTGACCTTTTTTGCTATTACATCACTCAGAAAACACATCTGCTGGGCTGTCTGCAATCATCACAAAGGGGTTTTGTTATGTTTTTTAAACAAAGACAATACAACACACTTTTTCCTTAACCTCTTTTAAGCATGGAAATATCTTTTTTCATGGAAATATTAACTCAGCCCGAGGCAAATACTAAATGCAGTATTTTTCAGAATGATAACTGTGCAAAAGTTCATAGACCTGTAAAGTAAATTCTCAACAAACAAGGTGTCAGAAATTTCTAATCTGCATCACACCCATACCTATATAGAACAGCATTTAATTCACTAGCTGTCTCACAGTTCCTAAAACAAGTCTTCTCACATACATAAAATTAAGGATTAGTGAGGGTAATTATCAGGAGTACTATTTTTATAATTAATATATTACCTGACCTGCACCCTAGTGTTCTGTGATATTTTCACAAATCACCATGTTAGCTCACATTTAAGAGCCAAGTAGATTTTACAGTATCAGCACCTTGAGAGTTTTAGTTTTTCAAATACATTAAAGTATATATTTTTAAGTACTTAAAAATACATAAGATACTAAAAAGTACTTAAGTACTTTTTACCCCATATGTCAAAATACATGGATACAGAGGTGTATCATTAAAATCTGACTACTCTCCAGAAAGGAAGTTGTGCATCTGCTACTCTCCCACTAACATGGCACTTGCTCCTTGGTTTACTGTACAGACTTCTCAGTTTCCATTTTTTACTAGTTCAAGATAAGAATTTCTGCAGCCAGAGAGCACTCTGGATGCTGTTGATCTGACAAAGTTCTCTAGCGAAGAAAGTCAGAAGAAAGCACTTGCTGTTTTTAAACAAACATAATGGATATTTATATGCACTGATCCCTCTGAGAACAACTGGAGAAATCAGAGCTATTTGGGTCCTGCAAACCAAATGACACAAGTCATGGGTCTCTGACTACACAGAGTAAGGCATCAAGCTTCAGTGACTGAACTGACCCACACAATTTCTGCCCAGGGAGGAAGGCAAAAGGAGCCCAACTCTATCACAGACTGCAAGATAGATTTTCATCCTAGAAGAAGGATCATCCCTTCTCATTCATGGAATCCTGCAACAGGCTGCACAACCATTTTTCCTGTGCATCTCACATTTGTCCTTCTCAGGCTTCAAATCAAGGTGTAATGCAGTGATATATTTCACATTCACTTTTAAATCTTTACTTAATCTCCTTTATGATGACAGACCAAAACTCAAGCTAAAGTGCATGGCTGAAAAGTAACCCCCTCTGCAGAACAGAAGGCAACCCTGATGAATTGCACAAAGCTCCTCAGAGGTTGCATTCCCCCTCCCTCCCATTTCACTGCTTGGATTCCTTTGTTTGGTAAATAGGTCAGTGCTCATAAAAACACCCCTCCAGGGCTGACTGCCTCACATAACCACAGCAGCCAACTATAAGGAGGACAGACACTAACATGGCAGCAGCTGAATCACACAACTTCCATGGGGCATGGAGAACTGAAAAAAGCCATACTGACCAATAAGGAGAGGGACTACAAGATTAACTGACAAGAGTCACAAAAATATCATTATTATTTCCCATCTCAAATTTCCAGCGATCAGACTTTGACAGGCTCTGTGCCTGTCATCTCACTGCCTAAAACCAGTGTCTTCAGAAGAAGATGAACAGGGGATGCCACAATCCTGGTCAATGCAACAACCTTCATCTCATAACCAGACTGTAATGCAGTCTGGTTAACAGCTCTGCCCCATCTTTAACATTCTCTGTAGATATGAAACCCATGAATCCTTTCTTAGCTATACTGTCAAGGATGTCAGTTGTGTTCTTGAAGTGGTCTTCTCTGGAACAAGTTGAGTGATAGTAATTGCAGTCTTAAAACAGCTTAAATACACCAACACCTTACAGAGAAGCTGACAGATTCACTTTAATACCCCTCCCAGGTACGTAGAGAAACTGAAATACCAAAAATATTATAAATCTGGGATTAAGGCCTCACTCCCGTGCTTCAGACGCAAAGAAAAAAACCACTATTCAGTGGTAAAAAAAACAGTGTTTTAAAGGGAACTGAAATCTAATGTTTGGCTTCAGATCAGAGGCTCAACAGGAAACCTACTGGGTTGAAGATGACAACTGGACAAAGGAAGTCTCTTTCCCAACACTTTTTCCCAGATCCTTTGTTGCTTGGGGAAAAAAGAAAAAAAGCATCCTGTACCTTTCCCAAACAAAGTCTTTATATGAGCTAACAGTGGACATATAATTTGTTCCAAGATTACAGACACTGTGTTTGATTCCTCAGTTAGTTAGAGAGGATTCAGTAGCCAAGATACAGTGCCACACAAATGCAGCTGAACTGTTCACAGGGCCCACCTCATTGGAGAAGCATGACAACCATCATTACTGCAGCTCATACAAACAAGTCAGATCTTTGTTGGCTCTGTACTTTGCAAGGTGTCTCTGTGCTAACATTTCACTTAAAACATTAAAGTTTCAGACCTTGAGCAAAGCCTCACTGACTTTGAACTGAATCACTAGACATATATGCAATACTGCAGGGAAGTTAGTGAGATGTACTGGAAACACCTAAACCAACTCTGGAAAATACTGTTGCGGTTCAGAAGAATTGCCTGGGATTCTCCTTTATTCATATTATTTTAGTCAATTATTTAGCTAGATACAAAACAACCAACTTTGATGCTAATAGAAAAAGGAGGCCTATCTTGAAATACATGAACTGCACACACAGGAAAGACTTATCCCATCTGTACAGTAAAAATGGGGTTGTCATTTTAAATGAGATATACAGACATCTCTACCAGCAGGGGATTTCTGTGTTTCATAAACACCAGTACTGGGTAGTTGAGAGAAATAAGCACTATGCTGTGTAAAATACTGCATACTGCTGTTAGAACATAAATTTCTGGAGACTTGCAACACTGAAGACTTCAGGGTTTAAACTAAGGGGGAAAATCATTTGTCACATGCATGTATGGTGAAAGTGGAAACAGTATCAAAGTTCCTACCACCCTTCAAAAAGAGAAAACAAGTCTCTTCAGACATACCGGAAAGAGTAATAATCCTAGTTCAGCAGTTTTACAAAGAATTTTCAGAAAATATATTAGTGGAAAATTACTTCTGCCAAAATACACTGACACGTGAGTTCCTCAGGATGCCATCAAATCATATCACTATGCAGCATTACCTTCTGCTTTTGTGTAGATTGAGATGTTTCCATTTACCAAGCCAGCAAACAAGTACTGAGACCTATATGTTAAGCTCATAACAGTCGATTTTTCAGGAGTGAAGAAGTGTTGAAGTCGAATTTTCTTTGAGCCTTGGCAACTTTTGTAAATAGAAATGCTATAGAAAGAAACAAGAAGAAACAAACCTGTGAAATTATGCCTCACATACTTCATGTTAGAATATGCAAAAGAGAAGTTTAGAATAAAACACTGGGGAAAAGAGTATTTTCTCCTTCAATTCTTGACACCCCAGAACGTCCGCATAGACAACTTGCAATTACTTAACACTGACATATGACAACACATTCATATTATCTTGTCTGCAGAAACAGTTATTCAAAAAAGAGACATAATAAAAATTCTGCTCAGAGTCCTTATTATGAGCTATCTAAAACTTTTATTAGTTAAAAAAAAAAAAAATTATAGTATTTGGAGAACTAGGGAAAAGAAAAATTCACTACCAGATGTCACACTTAAAATTTCCACAATTCCTCCTGATTGTTACAATGGATATGCTAAGAATATTGTTAAGGCATTAAATCACTGATTTCTAGAAATAGCATTTTCCTTGGAGAATTTTGTTCTCCTTCATTTATACTGGTTAGAAACACCTTCAAAAATCTGATGTAGTTACACACTTATGCCCTCAACTAAATAGAACAAGACCTCTTTGCTAACTGACCTATAAGTTTAGAACATGAAGCCTTGTTCTCCAACACAAATCAAGTGATGGCTCAGTAGGACATCAATTCAAAGAGACCAAAGTAATTCATGTCAACAGTAAATGGCAATATTATTTTTTCACGTGACAAATCCTGCATAATATCACAGGGCAGAAGATTAATGGATTTCTCTTTGCCATTCTGAAAATTTTCCAATACCTGAAGATTATGTTGTAATGTTACAAAAGCAGTATTTATATTTTTCACATATGATGAACTAATCGTCTTTCATCAAAAAGATACCCTGCTTTAATTTCAAATACCACATGGTGTAATTTTAAATAATGCAGAGTGCATTTCATCCTTGATTTAAGTGGGAAGGATACCTTGAGGTCACTCAAGTGATAACACTTGGATACTTTTTTTCAAACGTAAACATTTTCTTAGAAGTATCTCACAAAATTTTGCTATAGAAGAGTAAACTTAATCAATAAATCATACACATTACACCAAAACTAAGAATCACCTTCCTTCTTCCATGCCAAGGCAAATAGTAGGGACATTAGATGTTTTTGCAATAACATTTTCAGAATCTGGAGCTTTGTTTTGCTCTTTCAGCTTCTCCTGTTCTGGTATGTAGACCATGCAGAGAATCCGTGATTCCACATTGAAGCACTCAATAACCTTGGGGCTGGAGCTTTGAAATGAGACTATTGCAACCTGGCCCATCTGATTAGTACAACTGCCAATCTGAAATGAAAAAAGGAAAATAAAATTTAAAAAAAACCAACAGACTGTGACTGATACGTGTCTCCAGGAAGGTCAGCATGTACAAGAAGGAATGACTGGAATGTTAACTGAGGAGTGCATCTCAAGTGATATGTGCCAATATGAATTTTCATGCATTAAGACATAAGAGAATTATTCAGCACAAATACAAGCTATGTCAAAACATTATATATAAAAACTCGCCTTCTACAGTCACAAAAAATTATGTTTTTAAAGCAGGAATAATAGTATGGCCTATTCTGATATCTGACTCAAATGTATATACATTACATAATGCAATTACTGTAAGTATCTGAGCAGCATGCTATTTTAATAACTGGTGTTCTAAATCGTCTCAGGTTCTTCTAAATAGGTAAAAAAAGCTGAGGTGTGTCCTTTGCACAGGTAACAGGTCTACAAAGAAAGGCTCTATCCCAAAAGAAAGAGTCTTGTAAACTTGCTGATACGGAAACCTAAATTTCTCCCTGATCCAGAGCTAAGTATCATCAACATGACCATAAACTTGTACATTTTAGGGATCAGGGAAAAGTTAAAAAAAACCCCAACAAATAAACCCAAGCATGTACTTGTTTTTGTATAATAACTCTTTCTGCTTATATTAAATAAAATGGGAACGAGAAAGAAAGAATATTTTGTAGCAGTAGAAAGATTTAATTTGCATGTTTTTGCAACGACTGTACAAATGGCAAAGACAAAAGGAAATTATAAGGGTCACCTTGAAAACGACCACTAAAATAGCTATTTCTAACTTTTAATTCGCAATTTCAGCATTGTAGTAACTAGAAAAGCTCCTGAAATCATTAGCTTGCCTTTTTTTCAAGAACAGCTTCTATCCACCTCTGCTGGAATATCTGCATATCTGGGGTCCTAGCAATATGCAGAGTAAATTTTATTCCTATGTGGATTTAAACAGATTATTTTTGGCTAAAATATTCTTAAAATATGAAAACAGACAGTAGGACAGTGTAAGCTCATACAGGTTTTAGCAGCAATTGTTACAAATTAGCACATAACTCCCTTCTGAATGTGCTCAGCACTTTGGAATTCATTATGTGCTGCACAAATCACACACACTTAACTACACAGACCAGCAAGATCACATGGACAAATTAGTAGCTAACCTTTCATCTTTAAACAAATAAACAAAGAGAAAAAATCAACCCAACATTTCTTTCATATCTACACATTGCCGAGAGTCACAAAAAGCAATGGAAAGAAATAGGAGACAACCGCTTTCAGATTTTAAGGATTACATTTACCCAAAGAAAACCATGTTCCACAGCACAGGAATCTGACTCTGTTTCTCCAGCAAGGTATGGCTCAGGATTATAAGCAGCACATTCAATCTTAAAAGAGAGGAAAAGAGAGCTGTCAGCACATTAAAAAAACATGCCTGTTTCTGTCTATTTTAGTTTGTAATTAACTAAAGCATTTAAGGTTATCAAAGACTCTCATAAGGCAAGGAGTCAGTTTAGTTCACTCAGCTTCTCATGGGCAGTGTCAGCTGCACAGATACTGTTCCTAAAACATTCCTTATCTATCCCTACACATCTTCAAGGCCAAAGACTACAAATTCTCTTTTGCTGATCTGCTCAAATGCTTCATGACTTTTATTAAGTCTTTTCATGTCCCCACCTGACAACATCCCTGATGTAATCATTAGCCTGTTACCTCTCATCCCAGACATCAGGTACTTCTCTTTCTCTGCAGTGTGCTCTTACATGTAAGACTGATATATGTCATCACTCTGTGTGAGACATCTCTTCATGAGGCCAAATTAACATTATCACTTAATAACACATAATTTTTTAAACAATGCCTTTTCAAATTTTTGTTTTTAAACTTATTATTGCCACTTTTTCAACTGACATCTCTCCAGCACATGTATCAGCCTCATGTGTATATTTGAGAGTGCAGAGTTTTCTCACCTGAATATTCTAGCCGTGCTGGTAGCAGCACTACACCATTGTTACCTCTTCAGAAGCCTGTTTCTACACATCTCATTCATCTCTTTGTAACAATAAATATTATATTCCTAATCAATCCCTACCTTGCTGGTCAGTATTAAAAATTATTTTAACAGACCAACTAACCCACCTCTTCAATCTGGATTTATGAAACTCCTAATTTCTCCCTGAGAATACTGTCTGTCCTGCTGACTGTCATCCTTTTTATTTTTCTTTCCCCTCCCCTCAAATTATTTCTCCAGCTGCCTTAGTCCTTTTGAATGCTAATACTATCATTCTTCAGACTTCAACTCCCTTCCAATCTCATGTCATCATGTTACTGTCAGCAAATTAATAACGATACTCATGACTTTATCATGCAGCCATTTGAGAAAAAAAAAACAACTGAAAGCAACAGCAGACTCAAAGTCTATATTTAAGTCCATCCCAACTCCAAAGATCATTCAAGCATCAGGGATCTGAAAAAAAATATGACCAGTCATGGATTTCTAATTTCCTTAATATCCACAGCAGTTTCCTAAAGCTTACATAAACACTTCTAAATATATAAAAGTAATTAATAACTGTGTAGAGAATAAAAAGGTTTCTAATGAGGTGTGATATTACATTTTTACACAAGATTCTCTATAATTCAAACTAATGTTCTCTTGGACATCTTGGACATCAATGTCCTTCTGATTATATTGTAGTACACACCTCAGTTAGTAGTATTAACTTAGACTACTCACTTAGTATTAATTCCCCACAGCCTGGCAACATCATCTCCCAACAGTGAATAATTAAAAAAAAAAAAAACAAAAAAACAAGTCTGCAAAAGTTAAGAGTTTTAAATTCAAAGTGTACTTAATTTTACAAAGTGCAAAGAATTTTATAAATCTCCTAAAAGTCAGCATTCATTACAAACTGATTTGCTTTAGCAGAAAAAAACATTATTAATTCAGCAAAGCAATTCACTATATACAGATACAAATTTGAAATCACGAGATGATAAAAAGAGAAAGAGAAAAAAAAAGAGTTATCCATGCCTGTCTTAGCATGTCTCATTTAGCATATGGTGAAGCTATCTACTTGTGGTGATTTACAGTAGCTGTGACAATGAAATATATCACTAGTGAAAAATGAGACAGTCTGCAGGTTGGATATTTCCCAGGCTCCTTGTTACACCTCTGTGTCACTTTGCATCTTAGTCAGAAGTGATGGTTTTTTCCATAGTTAAACCCTGGCAGTTTAGCTCTCAGTCTGACAGAAGCCTGGGATGTAAACCTGCTCTGATGGCTCCCTACACCACTGGGCAGCCTGAGCAGCACACACAGAGCCAACAAACAGCATCAGCCAAGCAAAGGTTCTCTTCCCACCCTGAGCTGGGGCCTGAGAGCCAAACGGCAGTTGAGGCTGCAGTAATACTCAAGTCATATTTTCTCGTAATATCAAGGACTTGGGAGAACCAGGAATGACACCTGGGCTCACACTCACATTACTTTAGGAGCTGCAAAACTGGCAAAGTTAGCCCAGGGCTGACAGAAATTTTGTCACACACTCTGCTCTCCTGAAGTGACCAAGGCAAAGATCATCAGTCAGTGGTAAAAGTGACAAACTTCCTTTTCCTTTCAGAATAAGAAAACTGTTCTAATTTGATTACAAGAGTTGAGCCTGGGCCTTTTTGGCATGCATCTTCAGGACTTGCAAATGCCTAGGCTCTAGGAAAATACATACTTAATTTAAGTTTCTGAAAAAAAAAATTAAAATAGCTGGTTATTTCACCAGTGGTGACTTTAGAAAGTCAGTATAGAAAAAGCTGTTTAATAAGACAAGCATGACTGGTTGTATAGGAATTCAGACAGTTTCAGTAAACTTCCACTGCTCTGAAAACCAGTATCATAGGAATAGACTGTCTTAGCACCATTACACAGTTCTACCACATTTTGAATCACCAATTATTTTCCCTTAATATCCAGGCTTGTATACTCACATTTGAAGTGAAGCTGTCAACTGAGCTTCCCTCCCCTGTAGGCTGATCTAGCAGTCAGGGCCTGCAGACTCACCTCTTTAAGCAGCACCCATGCTGTGACACTAACTTAATTTTGGGATTCTATCCACACATATACAATTTTATTTCCATTACTCTTTCTGCACAAGACTTACTGATTGACAGTCAATAAGAAATTCTGTTGATACACAGGAAATATAGCATCCAGCACTCTATCTGTTAGTTTGGTATTGTACTTATTTTCATCATTAAAGTCAGTAGTCAATAAGGCTTCAAACTGACACATTGCTTTAGGAAATTAACCATTAAGACAACTTCTGTATCATTGTTCAGAATATGACATTTTACATAAGATTCCATGAAACATAACTAGAGAAAAAAAAATAAAATATTGTTCTCTGTGTGCTAATATAAATCAAAAATTTGAGGAGGATTTAGCATAGTTGCACCAGAAAAGGACAGCTTTCATGGAGATCAGATTCTTACTCTTTGTAAGCTTGAGGCTAGTTCTAAACCCCAAACATTTGGAAATCCCAAGATGAATTAAAAATTCCCATCAGTTCTGCTTACAATGAAAGTATGAAAGTGAATGTCATGCTATGTAAAAATAAACATTATGCTCCTTAGTGCCTCAAAGACTGCAGCATTTTCATTCCTGTGACTCTTCTGGACCTTTAATTGCTAACGGTCTTAAAGCAGGGTAGCTGCTCAAGAGAACTAACAGATGTGAACTAATAGATGTATTTACAATATGGAATTCTTTAGAAATTATATTATGTAAGAAAACCTAATTGCAATCTCATATCAAAATTCCATTCACCTTAAACTCCTGTTGCTTGGCCATCATCACTGGCATGTGTCTAACAAGGAGAGGATGTTTTTCCTTTTTGATTTGATTCCCATCATCTTCTATGCAGAACCAACCTAACAGGTTATCCTCCGCTGTAATGGAAAGAACAAACAATAAACATCTCACAATCCTTTCACTGAATAATCACTTCCACCTCTCCACAGGAACAGAAAAGAATTCTGTCAGGACTAGTCAATACAGATCAGGCTGTTCTTATGCCATAGATGCATAAATGACAACATTATACTGTGAACAAAAATTCAATTAAGTAGATTACATACATACTGATAGTGCAAAAAAGAACACTTTACATTAGCAAAATGTTAAGGGTAGTCTCTTAATAATCTTGTAAATCGAATGTTGAAAGAGGAAAAGACACATCAAACCTCTCAGACTCTAGGCAATCTAGGAATTTGTTGAACAGCATTTCTCTGCCTCTTTAAGTAACATCCCTATCAACTGCCAGTTATCATAATTACAAGGATCTTCCTACTGGAATGACGGAAACATCCATTCTGTCTTCTTTTTTTTACTTGTCTTCTGTGAGACATCACAAAAGCACTCTTATCTTGACTATGTGCTGGTGAAACTTGCTTTCAAGCAAGTTAATGTTTGTCAACTTAGGCATGGAAAAGTCCAGGTATTTTTGGAAACCTATCCCTCTGTGAAAACACAGGAAACTAATAACATCACAGGACATTGCTCTAACGCAGAGATTATTTGTGTTGATTTAGATGCAACAATTAGTAATGAATACAAGACTTCATTAAAATACTGTTGAAAATATATTCCTTCATAATGAGTGCCCTGTTTTATCTATAATGTTAATAGTTTGTAGTGATACACAATGATTACTACTTAGTATATTGCAGTTTTAAACATCTGCAGACAAATTTTCACCAAAAAAAGAAAATCATTCTCCAAGAAAATAAAAATAAATAAATTACATTGTACATTGAGAGCTATTTTAACTTGTTAGGCAATGTGAGTAACTAGGAATTACCAAGGGCCAGTTTAGCCATTTGTAAATTGTTGATCCAAGACTGTTTGATGGCAGGGGTAAATGTATTGAACACAGCTGTAAAGAAAGTTGGCCGCCCAGACCTGCAATACAGAAAAAAAAAAAAAAAGCCACTATGAATGCATTGGGTATGAATACAGTCATGGCTAAAAACTTTTGAGCAGGATGAAATGTCATTATTTTTTAATACTTAGATAAAGACTCAGATCTGAATTAAGTCTGCAGGCTATGATATGCCATATGTCCATGTACTGTACATGAAATGTTATGAGAGGAACTGGTGAAGGAATGCAACAGTGACTGTTCCCTTTAGCTGTCACTGCCACGGCTCCTCTCTTGCTTCCTGCATCCAGAATGTTGGGCTGAGAAACACGAGAAAAGCTACAGGGCTGCTCTGGAACGCTAAAGCTTCCAGCATTACGATATAAGAGCAGAAGTCAGGGGCTTACCATGGAGACAGAAAGGAGGGGAAGAGCTACAGATTCTCAGATCCTCACTCATACATCTATATCTAATATTTAAACCGATTTAGAAAGTTTTATAGCCAAGATTTCTACTGACTTGTCCTGTTTTCCTGGGAGTTGCAGCTGAATTCTACAGCGATCTGCCGCTCTGATTTCATCTTCTTTTTTCAAAATCAGCTTTTGTAAACCTGAGGTCCAGTCATGGGCTACAGATTGGTTTAAGTTCTGAAAAAGTAAAAAATTAAGATTCAACACCAGCCTACCAGCAAACAAGATAATAAGGTGATTCCTGCACATAACAAACAATAATACATGGGCTTCAATTAGACCACATTTCCATAAAGGATAATTTAGCCATATTTGTAAACACAGTTCAGATATATCTGTAAAATATTTTCTAATGTATTTCAGCTGAACATTTATTCTCACATTTCTCAGTTTGATGACATATAAATGACATTTCCAAGCATTTGTCAAATTAAAAAATGTAAATTTGTATCAGGTGTATGCATAAGCCTTCTATTTTATTCCAGCATCACGAGCTCTGCTACTAAAGAAAGTCTTTTGAAAACATCTCCAAATCCTACTGAAAATATGCTTTTGTTCAAATCATTGAGTCAAAATGTTTACAGACCCATCATGAAGGATGTGTGGTCTAAATCTGTTTAAGATGCTGAAACAATAGCTCACTGCAAGGTGAGTGTTCTTTTTCAGAGAGTAAAAGCTCACCTGAATGATACAAAGCATCAAGACTAAAAAGTAGACTGAAGGATACACACTTTCCACCATCAGAATTCTGTGACAACCTAAGCCTTTTTCAAAAATAAAGAAGCTGGCCTCATTCCTTAACTTAATTCTTGAAATGATCTTACACACATCTACCTGGAAACAATGACTGAATTTTAAGTTTTCGAAGAGCAGTTGGCTCTGACTATCAGTGCAGACAGAAACGTTTTTTATATGGTGATGGCTGAATGTCTTATGGTATATCTGTGCTATACATACTCCCAATTATGCAGATGAAATTCACCTTCTAATGCTTGTGAAGCTTTGTCCAACAGCATTCTTTCCATAGAGTACATATTTTCACAAAATGCTATTTTTCATTTAATGCCTTTACTCTGAAGCCAAGATATGTCAAGAGAAACTCATATATTCATACATATACACACATTTGCAACCTGTGGTGGCAGGTAGGAGTTAAAAATTACATGTAACCACATATAAAACGTATAAAAACCTAAGCAAAAAAGTAATTGTTTGAAGTCTCAAGACTTCATTTGGTGTTAAATACTATATTTGTTTGCCAGAATATAAGCTAAATCAAAGGGATGTGAACAAAGCTAAAGTAATACACTTTTTAAATTCTTCTGAACATCCTTTTATATTTTAGTTATCTCTACCCAGTTTTAAGTACAGTTTTCCCCAAAAGACAGGATTATGAGCTTGGATGGGGATCAAGAGCTTCCTCCAAACAACCATCCTCCTACTACCATGTCTAACTGCAAGAATCCAATTTCTTAACATCAAAATGTAATTGTGTTTCCATATAAGCTTATCAGCTACTGAACAAATGCAGACACTTGTACTATCCACCTACACTTAAAAACAACAAAGAAAAACAAGATTAGAAGGACAGCTGTAATCTATTTATAACACAACACTTAACAGTAAATGCATTACTAGAGGTAAAAATTATTCCACTTTTTGCAGAGACAACTAAAGAACGTTTTGCACAAACCCTAGGGAGAGGCAAGTATACTACTTTAAAAGAACAGACTTGAAAAATAAATCCAGCTTTATTACCTGATAATTTCCTTTAAGGCTGCTTATTAATTGACTAATTTGACCAAGTACATTCAAGTCATGTAAAAGGTTTTGCAGATCATGGTACAGTTGCCCTGGTCCCATATAGAGCTTGTCTGAAATTAATAAAGCCATACAGTTATACATAATAAAAAGATGCAATTCGCAGTTGAACGAGGAAAGTATCACAAAGACAATATGAACATGTATTAAGTCTCAAAATCGAAGTGGTTTATATCTATGTATATCCTCAGTATTTCACCTTGCTGCTCCAGCTTCTTCTAATGTCCCTGCAGAGAGATAATTGTGAAATGCACCCTAGGAGATAATAGGCAGTAGCATATATCAATACAACCTTTGCATGTACAGGCATTACCATCGGCATTTCCTTTTAGATCATCTTACTGTTTTTTTAGCTACAAATAAGATTCAAGTTCTTCATCTAGTATGATGGAGAGCACTATCTGCAGTTTTAATATCCCACACTAGAATTGTAACACATATCAAAGCTTCACCGACCCCAAAATCTCTTGTTGCCATGGAAGTTTTGTTTAACACCAAACAACAGACTTGCTGTAACACATTAATGCAAACATCTTTCCTGGAGGTTGTTTTTGCTTACATGATGAGCAACAAAATTGTCTGTAGCTTTTGCTATGATGGTTTAAAATTCAAAACTTGCATTATTGATTGTGAGACAGTTCAGGGTCATATGTCCATATCCTAACTCTAATACAAGCCCACGATTTCACTAAATCACTTGAAATTTTACTGTAATCATGCTTAAATTAAAAAAAAATCTGTTCTAAAATCAGCAATCAATCTGAACAGCAGCAGAAATATTTTATGCTAATAATCAATAAGTATAAGGGCCAATAAGGGTACAGTAACTCAGAAAAACACACTGATTACTAGGATAAGGTGTCCATTTAAATGCACAAAGCCTGCAAACCCCTGCTAATAGACTCTGACTACCATGATGCTAGGAGTGGAATGGCTAAGTAATTCCTTTGCAAACAACACTGACTCTTCCATAAAACCCCCCCCGACTCATACAGAGTCAGCATGTTTCCATTTGGCTGAATGACAGGAACAAGACTGGATTATCTTGCCAGGAAACTCCTGCAGATTCTTTAGCTCACGCAGTGTAGTATCCAAACTATGGATCCTTCATCCCTAGCACAGCTTTGGAAGGCAGTCTGTGGGCAGCAAACGCCCCTGCATCAGAAGGATTTCAACGATGTTGGCAAGAACAGGACCTAAATACAGAGCTGGCTACTGGCTCGGCAGACACTGAGGATCATGGACACGAGCTGTGCCACCTGCTCTGGCTGCAGGGCACAGCTCAGCTGCCACACACACACACACTGCTGGTGCCTCCATTCTCCTAGCCTGCTGCAGGGCCAGGGTAGAAAGCACAACACATCAAACCTGTCAAACAAAGCTGTCCAAATAGCGTAAGTCAGAACAAACATGAAATATAAACATGTATGAAACAACGCTACTTAAATCATTAGTATATTTTCAGTTAGGTATCAAAATAACTGTTTTCTAAAGACATTTTCCTATTTGGAGACATCATACAGAGAGAGGTCATGACAATGCTTTTCTTTAATGCAATTCATTATATTAAGCTAGAAGTGGGCTTTAAACCCTGAAAAGCATAAAATTTCAAGGCTCATAAAAAATATTATTTCTGTGCATTGCATTTGAGCACCAAACAGGGGAATGACTGCACTTTACTACTGTTTTCCCATCCAGATAATAGATGCAACGATCATCCTCCTCTTTGCCTGCTCTGAATGTTAATTAAAAGAACAATCTAGCCTTTCTTACCCCTAAAGCCAAATTATTCCATAAGAAAAGGTAATTATATTTATTGCACACCATGAAAAGAAACAACTGCAAAGTAGATCTAAGAAAAAGGATTTTGAAATTATGGTCAGTTGGGTGTATTTGCAGTTTTGTTTAAAAATAAAAAAAGTAACACTTTTCTTGAACTGCAGACTCCACGCTTTCATTAAGCTACATTTGTGCTTTCTTCAACCCAAATCCTTAAAAAAATCTGCATCTGAAAAGATGTAAACACTTCTCTCCTTGTATTTATCCTCTGATAGGTTATATCTTTTTCCTTGCTAACATCCTCAATAATTGTAATTGGTTAAGTACCAGAATCACTAATTTCTAGACACATCAAATTGTTGATTTTGATGGGGCTACTTGTAAAGAAAGGTGAAGACCAATGTTAACAGGAAATCCAGTGAAATCTAGCTAAAAGCCATGATAGTATGTCTGGAAATGTAAACAACACAAATTATATTCTTGCTCCAAATTTCTCCAACGAAAAGATAACTTCTGCAAAAAAAAAATTACACTGAACAGAAATAATTGTTTTATTAGTTGAGGTTTTGCAGAAGTCCAGTCATCGGCCATTTACAAACTCCACGAATAAACAAACCAAACCAAACGGCTGCCATGAAAAAATTATTACAAGTATTTTTTAAATTTATCTTTGTGGGTTTGAAGCAAGAGAAAATTTACAACAATCAGGCTGTGAAAAGCTGAGTCTGTGAGGCTTCACCTGCAGAGGACGGATATTTTCCCCCAAGCGAATTACATTATTCTTAAATTATAAAAGCCAGGATCACTGTAGCCTGATAAAGACAGTTAGAAGACATTTTGTTTATTATTGTTTGGAGAACAGACATTAATGCAACAGATAACAATGAGCATCCAGGCAAGTCTCCCTGATGCTGCAGGACTTTATGCCATAGTCTTCAACTGAGGCCATAAAGTGAGCTTTAACTGCTGGGTTTGCCCTGGGCAGTACATATATATCCACCATGCCTGATAATCCCCTTCTTGAAGCTTCAAATAGTCTTACAAATATCTTTGTTCCAGCCTTGGAAATAAGGCATAAATCTCGAATTTCATTCAGTAATTGTCATCTGAGTCTTTTTTGTCAGCATCATGCATATTTTATAAGCTATTAATAAGTCAAGATAAAAAGGAGGCAATATGAATGTCAAAGCAAATAAACTAACCTGGCATCTGAAAGGCTGTCACACAGAAAAAACAAACAAAAGTAATTTTAGGCTCATTCATTAAAAGACCACATTCTTAGTACAGGAAAGGAAGCACAAAATCAAAACAGTAAATAATTAATGAGAGCCTGTTTCCATCCTCTGATGTTCTAGAAAAGAGAAATGGTCAAGCTAAGAAATTTTAATAGTAAAAGACTAGATCAATAGGCATGACTAACATCAGCCTTTCTCAGAGGTCCTTAGTGGGCACAAACTGACACAGAAAAATAAGGCTTCAGAAATCAACAATAATGTAGATTCATCAAAAGTGAGTTCTCCAAAAAGTGATCACTTGGATTGTGTCTGGGTAATAGTTGCAAGTTACCTCTGAACTGGGTCCTGTAAGGGCTACTCACAAGGTCTTTTAAAATAGAACTGGCTTCTCAGTGGTTAACCAAAGATTGACTACCAGTTGATCCTGAGAATTGTCTGATGAAGGATTTTTCTTGAGTGGAGGAGGTGGGGGAGAACACTACTCTGTTCATCAGATGTTTCTCAGTTCACAGCCACAGACTGGCTGCTTCAGCCCACACATGTTCCCTGACCATTCAATTGCTGGCTATTTTGGGGTGGGTGTTCACTCCTTTTATCCGTAGAGATTGCACTTTAGAACTCTTGGCTTCACTCCAAAGCAGATACATGGTCGGTTTCTTTTGTACTGTGAAATGTTTCACAAATGATAAAGACATTTCCTTCTCATTTCTAAGCCACTCTTGTTACTTATCAAGCGCTAAAACAACTCATTTTTCCTATGGAAAAAATCCTTCATGGTTTGGAGAAAGCTCTCCCCAACTGTACACATCCTACAGGCTACAAAGTGTGCCTGGGCAGGAGAGAAGGCAGCGTGCTGCAACCAATAACCATATATGTGGCTTCAAAGGCAACATTTTTGCATTCCACCTACAGATCAAGGGTGAAATCCTGGCCACATGTAATCTAGCAAGAATCTTTTTCACCAACTCCTTTGTTGCTACGATTTTACCAGAGGAATTTGTGCCTCCCTGCAACAAGCAAGTTCACTGCCAACAACCGGTAATTCTTGCAAAATACCCAGTTCCTTGCTCAGCATTAAAATGAAATACACTCAAGGTTAAAAAAGAAAACAAAACCACAACTTGGTTTAGAGGGAAGAAAGGAGGTTAAGGTTTAAATTGATTTTGCTGCTATGTAAAACGGGGGAGAAGATTATGCTTTTTATAATGATTTCTTCTTAGGCCAAAATACATTTGAGTATACTAAGAAAATTTATTTTACCAGCTTGTTTCCCAGTGCTACTCTCAGCACCGCAGCTTCAAATTCATCAATTTTGCCTAGTATGAAGCAATTTTTGTAATTGAAACAGAAGCAATTCTAGGTGATTTATACCCAGGCATTTTCAAAGCCTGCAGGAAACTCCCTGGGTGTGGTTAAAGTCAGTTTAACTTGGTTCAGGCAAAAGTAGAATTTGGAAGGTTGTGAATAAATATACACATGCTAGAGAAGTGTCCATGTGGTAGTGCCCGGGCAAAGGGGGAGGATTCCCATGCCTGGCAGAAGGCTGCATTGCTGGAGAGCACAGTGAGCAGCCACAGCTCTCTCCCTGCACAGCAGCAGCTGCTTTAGTAAGTGCTGGCACAGCAGCTGCCTCCTGGGATTGTCGTCCATCCGGTTCCCCTAAATTTTCAATTTCCATGGCCTCTTCAAGCATATCAGAATCCTGAACAGATCACATCCTATTCTTCCTTTCTAAGAATTACAAAGGGATACATTTATTTTCCATGGTGATTTGTTACCTATTAGCTCTTTCTGTGTGTTCTGATTCCCATTTGTGAATTACTATTTTATCACAGATTTATGCTACTAAAGACAGAGTAAATGCAATCACCCATTATTTGAACATCTATTGCTGGGCAAGCAAACATAATGGCTCAGCTGGTCCCATCACATACTAAACTCCTGTTTATTCCCAATTAGAAGGATTTTTTCAAGTAATACTATTACATAAATCCAGATGTCACACAAATGAAATAAAAGCCTCAGTCAATATACGCTCA